TTCTCTTAATATTAAATTTAACTCGATTCCAGATTTATACCTTGCGAATACACTTTTACTGGATACACTAGCACTTTCCTCTGTGATTTTTGGCTGATCCTTTGATTCTTCTTCACTTAATGATTTTATAGTGATATTTTCTTTCGATTCTTGAGTCATCTGTTCGTAAACAATATTTTAATATTATCTCGTATAGTAACGGGTTTTTTTTCTGTACGCTGACCGTATTATCATAATAAAATTATTTATAAAAATGTACCTTGTTCAAGAACTATATTATTATTATATATTATAATATCATATTATTAATATGACTATAATATTTGGATATATTTTTAGTTCAGTTGTTAGTTAATGCGTTATGATATATTTGGTTAATATTTGACTGTGTATTGAGCAACCAACCTTTGTCAAAAATGGTGTTTATATATTTCTTCAATAACTATAAATTATGTCAGAAAAATAAACAGTGAAAAAGGTATATGAAGTTTTTAAATTGAAATGCAACAATACAAACATTATCTTCTACCGGGACAGCTAGTTATATACATTTAGATATTTTACAGTATAATCTAGTACAGTACTTCTCAAATTTTTTTGTCATGAGGCTCTCTAAATTTAATGTAAAACTGTCAAGGACCCCCTTCATCAAAATTATTAATTGTTTTTTCTAAATTATTTATATACCAAAAATTACATGTACTATTTCACACAGATAAATTATTTAAATGTATAGTAAATTAATGTTTTAATATACTTTTGAAAAGTATTAATAATAGTTTTAAAATGTAATTATTAAAACTTTTTCCATAAAAGCTGAAAGTCTAAAGAAAATAAGCACTTATCTAGGATGACCATATAAATTTAATCTATCAACCATTTACCATATAGGTATGTTTCTATTCCAGGGCCTCTGTAAATATATAATAATATATAGGTAGTAGCATTGATTTTATAATAATATACTAAAAAATACTATGAATATATTATAAAACCAATGGTGATAGGTGCACCTGAGTAATAAATGCTCATAAAAAGGTATTCAAAATATATGCATTTTGGTAACACATAGGTAATTTGAATACTAGTATTAAACTCAATATCAACATATTATGAATTGTATTTAAAATTAATATATAAATTAATAATTAATAATTTTTATTTGTTAATTGTAACACTTTGAAAGCATTATGTATGATAATTTAGTGAATTAACTCTTACATTTTTCAAATATTTTTTTTGTAATAGGAAAATTAAAAATGAAGATATTTAATAATATAAATAATTGTATTTGATAAAAAGAAAGTATTTAAATACATGCATACAAATAATTTAGAGCATAGAAGTCTTTATGCAATGAAAAATTTTGAATTTTATTCCTTAAATAGTATTATATTTTAAATTTTCTATTGCTTTGGTGTACAAAAGTGTTCGTTTATTATTGCCTCTATAGGACATATAGCACTCCCGGTGGTGACGAATATCTGTAGTAAAATTTTCAATCAAGTTTTCAAACAAGTGACGACACCTTATCAATACACCTTGGACTTTACAATGATGTGTGGTTTTTTTTCATTTTTTTGTCTATCATCATGGTTAAGGCCAGTAAAACTGCTTCGATTTTCTTCAACAGCAGTATCTTGTTCGATGGGAAAGTGAATCTAGTTGGTGCATTAGGGAGGTCAAATTTTAAAAATCCCAATAGTTTTCAAAAGCGGCAGGAAAAACACCAAAAAATTAAGGAAAAACGGGAATTTTTACGCAAAATCGGATTTCCACAAAATAGATTTTGGTTTTTGGTGTAACTTTAAAACAAATGACCGTAGATACATGAAATTTTCACCGGTTGTTTATATTTGCATTTTCTATACACGATAACATTTTCAAAATATTTTGATTTAATTTGAACTGTTTAGGGACATTTTCATTTTTCATTTTTTTAGTTTTTTTTCTAGAAATATCAATAAAATTTTATTTGTTGGTTAAAAAACTTGAAAATTTAATAGAAGGCTGCTAGTATACTGTTTCAAAGGCAGATGATAAATATTAAAAATCGTTAGTCACAGTTTTTTTTTATAAGCATTTAAAGTTCAAAAATTGACAAAATATGGAAAAATCACGAAGATTAGCAAATTATTTCGTAAGAATTCGTAAAAATTTTTCTTTTTATATCTAAGGTTTTAAAATGTAATACAAGATTCCTCATAAGATTATCTACCTTTATCAAAAAAAAAATGTCTATAAGAAAGTCAAATTAAATTTTTATGAGCGTTTGTAATTCAAATTTTTACAACATTTGGATATTCACTCGATTTCTCATGTAGCGATTTCCTTATTTTGTTGTAATTCAAAAGCGAATGACTGTAGATAAATGAACATTTTACTGAATATTTATATTAGCAGTTCCTATACACCATACAATCTTGAAAATATTTTGACTCTTTTTGAGCTGTTCACGGATATTTTCATTTTTCAATTTTTTTAGTTTTTTTTCTATGAATATCAATAAAGTTTTATCTGTTGGGCCAAAAAGTGTAAAAATTTAATACAAGGCTCCTGATATATTGTTACAATATCAGTTGAAAATGTTAAAAGTACATAGGCACAATTTTTTTTTATAAGCATTTAAACATCGAATTTTGACAGAATTTTTCAAAATCTCGAAAATTATTAATCATTGTAATTAATAAATTGTAAAATGTTCAGTTTTTATAGCTAAGGATTGAAAATTTAAAACAAGATTCCACGTAAGTAGTTAATTCTCTTACCGAAAAATCTAAAAATATACAATCACAGTTTATTTTTATAGTCATTTTATGTTCAAATTTGGACGAAATTACATATTAAAAAACCTAGTTATTTTGTTGTGATTATATAATATTATTCGTGGGTACCTACTTGAAACTTCTAAAGTACATTATATTATATATCTATGGTAGTATCAGGGTTTGTAATTGATGTTGATGTATAACGTGTTATAAGTACCTAATGGATATTGTGATAATGTGATATGATTAATTTGGAATTTATTATAGGTAGGTCAATTTTTTTTTAATACCATAGATATGTATATAATTTGTTTTAAACCTAGACTGACATACCGTCTTCGCTCAGAATCGTTTTTCTTATACAATGATATTGTATCATTGAATTCAAATTTAATAGCATCCATTATACAGTGACCCACTTGTAACCTAGTGTACAGCAGAGCGACATCCACTTACCCACCTTTTTTTTTTCTATGAATCAGTGGCTGCTATCCTCAAAATAATATGAGTTGCTGAAAATATTTCAGAAACACCCACCCACTCACCTACCTTAAAATAATTATTAGAAAATACAAATTACTAATATTCTATCAGTGGGTACTGGCAGTGGCGGCCAAAACCCACTGATAGAATATTAAAATGAAATGCTCGACCACCACCACCTAAATTTTAGCACACAGACCCATGGGGGCTTGGCCCCCACGCCCCCAATTACCAATTTTACAACAATAATATACTTTGTCTTTTTAATATCAGAAATATAATAAAATTATTTATGTTTATGCCTCATAACTTATAATATATTAATAAGAATACATCTTTATTTAAAAAATACATTGTCCCTCAATAAATCAGATGTTGCTGCAAAAGTATCAATGGCTAAGTTATAATCTATGTCGATATATCTTTCACAGTTTAAAATAAACAAACTTTGCAAGCCTCTAAATGTCGACCCCAATTTACAAAGTTTAATCTACCACGTTTCTTACCACAAACACATATTGACCCTACTATCAAGCTCATAATTGGGTCCAAATAAGAAATACAGTCCAGTTTAATATTAGTAAAAAATGGTAGCGGTAGGTATATACCCAATATTCAATGATAATATTGTAATGTTTTTTAAAAGCACTATACTTATTAAATAATTAAATAATTTGTTTTATTAAATAATTTTTATGTACATAATACCATTATGCACATATTAGATCAAGGTTTTTTTGTTTTGAGTTCTTATTAGGATTACGTTTCAGAATTATAAACCAGTCAAGATTTCTATTTAAAAAATAAAAGTGATTACGATTTTAAGTCTAGTTATGTGACTCTGTTCAATTATAATTTCATAAGCAATTAATACCATCAGAAAACGAGGTTAAATAAATATTCAATTTTCGCCTTTAAAACTATATTATACAATAACAATATAATAATAAAAAAATAGGTGCTCTGCTGTACAGTAGGTTACAAGTAGGTCACTGTATAATGGATGGTATTAAATTTGAATTCAATGATATAATATCATTGTATAAGAAAATCGATTCTGAGCTTAGATGGTATGTCAGTCTAGGTATAAGACATATTATATACTTATCTATGGTATTAAACAAAATTGACCTATTATAGGTAGGTACATATGATAAATTCCAAATTAATCATATCACAATATCCATTAGGTACTCATAAGTTATAACGCATCATACATCAACAATAAACTCTGATACTATCATAGATATATAATAGTGTACTACTTACTGAGAAGTTTCAAGTACAAACGAATAATATTATAAAATCGTCAATCACAACAAAATAACTAAAATAGTTATTTTAGGTTTTTATTAAGTAATTTCGTCCAAGTTTGAACTTAAAATGCCTATAAAAATAAACTGTGTCCAAGAATTTTTTAGATTTTTTGGTAACAGGATTAACTACTTACGTATTAAATGTTCAATCCTTAGATATAAAATTTGAACATTTTATAAATTTTTAACTATAAAATAATTATTCAATTTAATATTTGATAAATTTTCTCAAATTTCGATCTTTAAATGCTTATAAAAAAAATTGTGCCTATGTATTTTTAATATTTTTCAACTGATATTTTAACAATATATCAAGAGCCTTGTATTAAATGTTTACGCTTTTTGGCCCAACAGATAAAACTTTATAGATATTAATAGAAAAAAAACTAAAAAAATTGGAAACTGAAAATGTCGGTAAACAGCTCAAAAAGAGTCAAAATATTTTCAAAGTTGTAAGGTGTATAGGAAATGCTAATATAAATATTCAGTGAAAATTTCATGTATCTACAGTTATTCGTTTTTGAATTACATAAAAATAAGGAAATCGCTACACGAGAAATCGAAAGCACTTTTAATGTCCTAAAAGGTGATG